GAGAGAGAGAAAGAGGAGGCGGGGGTGTCCCCAGACATCAAGTCCCAACCCTCGCTGAGGGAAACAATTAAAAGAACGCCAGGTGCAGCAACAGAATTCCCAAGTAAAACAACCGTTGTCATGTTTTCTTTTCAATCAACAACACAAAAGGTGAACATACACGCTCCATCCAACTTCTATAAAAAAGAAAAATATTTTAAAAAGAAGCCCTGCAGCTGATGTTTCACGCTCCACTCATTTTTCTTCTGGTCTGTGAAAACCCACACACTGTCCAACCGTTATTGGAACATGAGCAAAGCATGACAGACAATCCGCTGACACAAAACTACAGAGAAGAAAGAGGCTGTGATGTTTCATTTCCCTCGATATTTTCCACCTTTTATGATACTCTGTACAACAGAATACTACACACAAGCAAAACCAGTGTCATACAGTCTTGCCCAAACACAGCACACACACAAATAGTCAAACACACATACCTTACACATTTTCAGATCCCCATTTTTTTTTTTATACACATATATATTATTTGTATTTAAATCACTAACATAGTGAAATTCATACAAAATGAAAGGATCTCCACTTCCTGTTGATTTGGCTACATGCATGCCCGACTTGTATTCCCACTACAACTGAGCATCAACACTAACCTTGGTCACAAATAGTTCCAACAGAAGCTATTGGACAATCAGCAACGTCCAAAAAGCGCCTGTATGAGACGCCTCCTTCAGCAACTATTTAGCCACCTGGACTAGACTAAACTGTCAACAAATGTATTCCCACAGGACCCCTACACATCCCCCCTGGACATTTCCACAGATCTGGACCTTTCCGTCGTTCGCAACACACGACGGGTTTACAGTAAAAGCTCAGCACATAAGAACTTTCCCGTGAGAAAATGATTAAGTGTACAGAACTACGAATGATCGACAAATGTGGCTAGCGCTTGGGAGCCAAACAAATCAAATGCCGAATCCCGGCAACATAACGGACCGCACATTACATTTCACAAAGGGTAAAAAATCCTGGAATCACTGAGTGCAAATGAAAACCAAAAAATGTTCAGGCCAAGCAGATTTCTGTTTTGGTCATTGCCAAAAGGACACCAGTCTGCACACAGTGGCCCACACATGGACAAACCCAAACATTTTGTAACTGCCACGTCTATGTTGGGAGTATTCAAGAAGCTCAAGCACTTTACACAAAACAATCCCATTCCAAAAAAGAAAAACAAGTCTTGTGCTGGAACAACACTTCACAAAACTAGACAAAAGGTATACAACAAAAAAAAAAAAAAAGTTTCCCGAGAAAGTCTTGTATAGACCCAGCAACATCCCATGAGCCTGTATAGCGTGACAAGCAGGTCGCCGTGTCAGGTTGCCGTGTTAGGCTCTGTTGCTGTAGGCCGCTTCAAATGAGGCCATTAGATCGTTCTGTGCATTCATGTCAATCCGGTTGGCAGTCTGAGGAAGACAACATTACAACATTCATCGAGGACTCAAGGTTTTTAAATATTTTACTAAGTGTTTTACAGCACTTGCAACACAACAAGGTCATACAAGTGCCGAAGATTTGAGGTGTTACAAGAGAGTAACAAACACAAAAAGGAAGGAGGGGAGATAAAGAAGATAGATGTTTGACACGAAAGAAGAGGCAAACCACAACAGAGCACCCGCCAACCACCCAGGGTTGGTGATTTTTTAAATTAAAATCTGATTTTTTAATTTTTTTAATAATTTTTTTTTAATGTCGACACAGTTTGGGATTTTTGGTGGCTAAAAGTATGTTCTTTTAGTGCAAAATGCATTGTCTTTATCTTAACTAATGATTAATTTTAGCAACTGCAATAGAAAGCCTTAATCTGCTATATCAGTGAATTATGGCTACAGACAAAAAATGAAGAAAATGTCAGTCTAAAAGGAAGGGGGGGGGGGGGGGGGGGTAATTATGCATAGATAAACTTCATTTTATTGCAGTGTGTGTGTGTTTGTCTAAAAAGAAAAAGAAAATGCTAATTTCAATTATGAAAAAAAAGTAAATTGAACACAGAGTATTATTTTACAGTGACAGGGGGGAAAGCAGACTTTTAAGCATGATTATTTTAGTCTACTAAACCTTATATCTGTTTTATAAAACCAAGGAACGGAATTCTGAATGTTTAGAGATGTAAAAACTGGAATATATTTTTTTTAAAGTGATTTAAATCACTGATTTTTATTTTAAAAATCATGTTGATTCAAATTTAAAAAATCAACTGATTTTAATCGACCTGATTTAAATCAACCCAACCCTGCAACCACCCACTGACTCAAGTTTCAAACAAAGTATCATTACCCACCCCCACCCCACCCCAATGATTTAAGTACAAAATCTCAGAATTTCATCATCACGCCAAGACAAGTTGCCCAGAGAATGTTGTGATATTTAGACAATAGCTTTGAACCCGGTTATTTCCAAAAACAGCCAATGTCTGTCCTAGGCACGTTCACACTGACCTCAACACCCAATTCCACTTTCGGTACCGCAGGCTCATAGAGTGAAAAACCCTCAAGTAATGCACCAGTTTAGAACACTGAAGCCATGGTACATTTTTTTTAAATTAAAAAAATTGGCAGCTTAAGAAGCACGTTTTAAACATTCCTAGAGGTTCATCAACCATTCAGCTATCATATAGAGTGACTTCCTTCCTATTTGCTTCAGTGCAGTGCGTCCATTCCTTGTTTCATTATGTTTAGTGTGCCTGGTTGCGGAGGCGATGCGAGTCACCAGTGGATGTGGGCACATACTACTGTGTCACCAGCTGATGTGGGAACATACTACGGCATCACCAGCGGATGTGGGAACATACTACGGCATCACCAGCGGATGTGGGCACATACTACTGTGTCACCAGCTGGTGTGGGAACATACTACGGCATCACCAGCGGATGTGGGAACATACTACGGCATCACCAGCGGATGTGGGCACATACTACGGACTGGCGACTCATGTCCCCGACGGTACTGGCGACTCATGTCCCCGACAGTACTGGAAGTATTAAGGCTAAGAAAGCGTCTAATGACCAGTTACCCAGATTCCTCGGTTTCAACCATTCATTTGACAGGGAAGCCACTCTACCTCTGAACACTTTGCCGTCACATCTCGCCGATCGGCGATGTTTATCACCCTGTTTCTTTGGATTTTCCCCAAAATGCCTTTGCCTCCGACGGCAAGGGTTTTTACTACATGAGCCTTGTGGTGGCAAAGTGTTAAGTAATTTAGGCTGACAGGCTGTGTGCAAAATGGGAACTTTCCAAGAAGGGGATCTACAGAGATGCCAACCACAGAAAACCGAAATGAGTATTGGGAAATTTGAAAATGTGTATTTTCAGGGGAAAATGTGTATTCCCCACGACCGACCGACCAACTAGTAATAGTAAAATGTTAAGGGGGTCAAGCAATATTTCCTGGAAAAAAATTACTAGATCTAGCTCAGCAGCTGGAAAAAGGGAGCACACACACGTACAGTATACATGTATCCAATCAACAACATGTCAGTGTTCAGTGTCGTACTGTCAGTGTTCAGTGTCGTACTGTCAGTGTTCAGTGTCGTACTGGGGTCTGGTTTGACTTAATATTTCAGTCTATTATACCGCTAATATTTTCCTCTCATTATTACGTAAAAAATAAATCCTGCTTTGAGAGTTCGGAAGGGCCTAGAACAAAAATTTCGCCAAGCAAGAACCAGTCTGGGTGTCATGATTCATATTATGAACTGACAGACTCAAAATATTGCTCAAACTCAGAGAAAAGCAATAACTTGAAAGACTCAAGTAGACCCATGCACTGTGAGAGTTGTAATAAGTGTGGTAGGGCAAGATGTAGTGACACTGAAAATCAACCAGTCTTGAACAGAAAGCCACAACAGGCTAGGCTAGGTATAATTTACAATATCACCCATCCAATGAAACGCGAACACATTATTTCAATAGCACAGACTTGCAAAGTTTGAAGGGTCCCGATTCCGCACACGGCCTGCACCAACGCGTGCTTTGCAGAAAGCTCTAATCAAAATTTTGAAATGTGCTTCCAAGTTTTTGTCCTCTAGTGTTGCCTTCACACCCTCCCCCATAATATCTTAAACCCCCCAAAAATCAATAATCTCCTCCCCTATTCCGTAGTCCTATACTTCACAACGCCGTTCCTCCCACCAAAGACGGTCTTTGCTCACACGATGCCGCGTTTATTTATGACACGAATGCGCGCAGGTTCAGTGACCGGTCACGATGGCGAGCCAGACAATCTAAAAATCGGACGACGCTTGTATTTTATTTTCTTTTTCCACAAGTGACAGCACAGAGGCGAGTCCGAGCATTGATTAAATTTTATTTGCACAGCGACCTTGCGTTTATACTGCACAACCTGCATGTCACAAATGTTGCGTCATCAGACATGACAACTGCTGGCAAACTTCTCGGTGGCAACGAAAGCGAAAGTAGATCTTGATTTTCCCGATCGAGCCTCGGTGTCACACACGCTTCCGCCTGCCGCCATAGTTGCCTATTCGCTTGAAAGTGAAACGTACTCTCCGAACCGCGAGAAGCTGAACGAATATAATATCACGATCGCGACCGGCAAAAATAAACTTACTACCCACATCGGACTTGGTTTTCAAATATTCCAGTTCTGCGATACTGATACTATTTTGACAAAAGATGGGACTTGAGATAGGTTTACTCACCCAAGCTGAATCTCGTATTTTTCGCATTCCAGGATGCATATTTTTTCATGAAAAGTCGTATTCGCGTATTTTCGGCAAAAAATAGTACTAAAATACGTAAAATCGTACTGGTTGGCATCTCTGGACCTATGGTGGGATGTGTGCGTCTTAGCCACCAGCCACAACACACATACATATATACATATACACGTTCTAGGCACTTACTGCTTCTCTCTTCAGCTGAGCAGCTCTCCGCATCTGCTCAATCTTCTCCTTTTTCTTCCTTTCTTCCTCCAACTTGTCGTCTTCCATTTTCCGCTTTCTCGCTGCTTCAATCCCGTCTTCCTCTTCTCTTTCCCTGTTGATACAACATGCACTCGTGGTGACAACAGCTTGGGGGGGGGGGGGGGGGGGGTACAGCACTTGCAATACAATAAGGTCATATAAGTGCCAAAGATTAGAGGAGTTACAAGAGAATAACAAACATAAAAAAGAAGGAGGGGAGACAAAGACGATAGATGTTCGATAGGAAAGAAGAAGCAAACCACACCAAGGCACCCGCTAGCCATCTACAGGAGATAGTAGTCAAGTAGAAATGTAACTTAAAGGTCTGATGAAACAAGAGGCCTGGCCAGGCTCACTATTGCCGATACAAGAACAAAAAGGGACGGGATGGGGACGGAATAACTGCTTGCACAAACAAAAGAAACCTTTAAAACTACGGGCTACACCGCAAACATTTCATCCCGATTATGCATCACAACATGCCATGCCACGCAGCCCACCCACCGTAGCTCATTGTTTCAAAGTTTTTAGTTCTAATAGGAGTTTTACGGCACTTGCAACACAATAAGGTCATAAGTGCCGAGGATTAGAGGTGTTACAAGAGAGTAACAAGCACAAAAAACAAAAAAAAGGAGGAGATAGAAACGATCGATTTTTTATAGGAAAGAAGGAACAAACCACACCAGAGCACCCGCCAACCATCCAAGTTTCCAACAATTACCCATTACAAGAAAGAAAAAAAAAATGGGTCGCACACAACACAAAAGGGCAGGAATTTGTAACACTCTGTCAACTTAATGTTAGCCTTACTCCTGGCTATGACACTCTGTCAACTTAATGTTAGCCTTACTCCTGGCTATGACACTCTGTCAACCTAATGTTATAGCCAGGTCTAGAGTGGAATGTTTTTCTATGGGCAAAGTGGCAGAGAGTGACCACAAGGGTTCCATGCACAGAGGGAGTTGGAGCTCGACAGCTGTATGTAATATGGTGACGTAGACGGTCTAGTTCTGCTCGGTTTTCTCCCATTATTCACCCGGAAGGCCAGAAGGTAGGCAGTGGGTTGGGTAGCCGAAATTTTACAAAATTGGAATCAAAGTATCGTATTTTCGTAAAATTGAATAAAAATCGTAATGATTCCAGCAAATTTGTATGATGGGCAGCCTTGCAAGGCTATATTATAATCAAAGAGATTTATTTTCATCACAGCCCAGCTAACTATAGTGGAAATCTTGAGAGAGAATTAGGATATCAAAGTCAGAGAAATTTTCCAACAAATTAGGAGTGGAAACATGACCAATCTCGAGAGAGACTAGAAAGGGCTACGTAGAAGGGAGCTGAGCAAGGCAAAGGGGGCAGAGAATGGGTTGAACAAGGGGCGAAAGTGTTCACATTAACCTCCACTGCTTATACCGTCATCTCAGCAAACCAATGCTCGCTCATTTGTAACTAGATAGAAACAAAGTTACTGGAAGGGGACGTTGAACTTGTGCTGACAAAATATCATTGTGACTTGGGCCTGTGCTCAATGAACTCATTCATTTTTACCTTTTCTTCTCCTCTTCTTGTCTTTGCCTCTCCTTCACCATTTTCTGCTTCTGTTCCTCAGCCTTCTTCAACAACGTTTCCTGAAACAATCAAACAACGGTCATAATGACCTTTTGCCACATCACAACTCCCAGAAGGTCATAGACCATTATTCTTCACTACACAAAAACTTGTTCTTAAAGACTGAGACAAAGTAAAGGACTGTAGCAAATACAAGCTTTCAAATCATTAACTATCAGCTGGAAGGTGGGACAATGAACCTCGACACATTCACGCACACATGTGTGTGTGCGAGTGTGTGTGCATGCGCGTGCCCGCGATGTGCTGGTGTGTGGGGATGGACACACACACAAATACATCCATATTTTGGAACCTTCAACGTTGGTTAACCCCTACTGTGTGCCTAACCAGATCTGTGAATCTTTGGCCTGTTGTGACCCCCATGCACCTAAAGGGTGTCAAGTGTGGCGAGGAAATGTCCGTAATCCTCATGGCTATGATGATTTCCTTTCCTCATCCAAGGAGACGAGTGTCAATACAAGCATGAATGTTTCGGTTTGAGTGCTTTACACTGGGCAAGCACACAATTAATTCTTCTTCCAACAATCCCATAAAAAAGCCTTAACCACAGTCTTGAGAAACAGCACAAGTATCATTGAATGACAGAAGAAATCTGAACGTCTTCCCAACCTCCCATCCGACAAACTTACCTTTTGGTGCTTCATCTCATTCATTTTTTTATACTGCTGGAAGGTAGACTGTGACTTTTGCTGCCAGGCTGCAGCTATGGAGTTCCACGACTGGGCATTATTCATCTTGATTTCAGGCTGCAATGGAAAAACAAAATGACCCAATCATCAAAAAATTGTCAACACAACTGTTTCCAAAGATCAAAAAGAAATGTTCCCAGTTAACAGAAGTGTGCACACAGCAACTACACATTCAGTCTCAATATTTGACACATCTCAACTTAGGACACTGTCAAATGTAATACTAGGGAGCGGGACAGAGGGTGCCCACCTCATTACTCGAAAGAGCTGAGGAATGTAGGACTAACATGATCTAAACAATTAACTACAAACCAGTTGTCATGACCATCTCCAGTTGGGGTTATGGCAACACTTAGATGAGTAACTTACCAATAAACGTTGTAAGGGTGAAGTAACATATTCTTCTATTTATTTATTTATTGATATGTAAAACATTGTCCTTTGTGTTTTCTCCTAGACTAACAGCTCATTTCAAAATACAAAATGCTGTTATTACTAAACATAAAAGCGCTGGGGGGGGACTTGGTTCTTACCTTTCCAGCAGACTGAGAGACAGCAGGTGTGGGCGTTTTATTCTCCACGTCATTAGGCTTGAGAGGATTGTTCTGGTGGTTGGAACCGATGCCGTACGAGACACCGACACCACTGGCAGCTGACAGACAACAGAAAAAGGAAAGGTTATCATCTCCACCGACACTGTCACGTAAACCTTTTACCGCACTTGCAACACTATTGTGTCATACACTACTGTGTCATACACTACTGTGTCATACACTACTGTGTCATACAAGTGCCACAGATTTGACATGTTATACAAAGAAATCCCCCCCCCCCAAAAAAAAAGAAGAAAAAAAATTATACATGATGTTTTCTGAGAGAGAAGGAGCAAATCACCCCAGAGCATCCACCAACCATCCACCATGAAGAACAGGCAGAGAGAAAAGATCAGAAATAGAAAAAGGAAACATACTGCAGAGACGGTGAACATTTCCTTACGGAAACTGAAATCAGTCAGAACATTTACCCTTTCTCCACTCAATTTTTAGCAGGACTGTTGTTCCGATGGACGAATGAACTACCAGGTAGACAGTGCCCCCCCCCCCCAAAACTGTTGGACCCAACAGCCCAAAAAAGTAGTACAAGTTCAGTCTTCAACCTGTCCACTGGCACAGCAAATTACAGGGATGCCACTAGGGGTTGCTGTGAACATTTACAAAGTTGCAAGCAAACAAAAAGACAGAGAATAGACACAACAAATACGGATTGAACAGATAATAAACGAAATTAGTTCACTTTTCAGTGAAAATATGAGATGTAACTTTTTTTTTTTTTTTAAAGAAGAAAACCCAGCATCCCTGACACTGAAAAGCTAACCAGGAAAGCCACAAGGGCGAGGCGAGACAGACGGGGCCAGAACTTACACACAGTGGCTCCCGGGGGCGCCGGGGGGGCTGGCTTGGAGGGGCTCGGGCATGGACTAGAGTCTTCATCACTTAGAGAGAAGCGCATCTGGTTGTCGATCTTACGCGGCTGATTTACCATCCCAGCTCCCGTACGTGATTGATGTTGTTGTTGCTGTTGTTGTTGCTGTTGTTGTTGCTGCTGCTGCGGAGGTTGCTGTTCGGGCAAGCTAACTGGCATGCCCTCTTTGGAGGGCCTCCTGCCAGGAAGGCTGGCCACTGGGGTGCTGTCCAGTCCAGGCGTGGACACAAAGGGCCGGTCCACAGCGGCAGGCACAGGGGTACTGGTCATGGGAACTGGACGGGGGGGAACAGACAAGCGGGAAAACTTAACAAAACAAGACCCGTCGCAGTTTGAGCAAAAACCACATAAATGTTCTTTACATTCCCAGGTAGCAGTTTGAGCAAAAACCACATTAATGTTCTTTACATTCCCAGGTAGCAGTTTGAGCAAAAACCACATTAATGTTCTTTACATTCGCAGGTAGCAGTTTGAGCAAAAACCACATTAATGTTCATTACATTCGCAAGAAAATGTAACAGAAGTGAAAATAGGCACTCTTAACACTTTACAGTCACAGCCAAAGTACAAAATACCCGATCTGGTCACCCAGCCAGGAGAGCGACGGCAATAGACTTTTCGCCAGGTGACCAGAACGGATAATTTTCCCCACTGCATTATTGCGCAAAGTTCTAAAATCAGGAAAGGTGAAAGAAAAATCTGAGAAATGTCTATTCCTGATGTTAGTGGGGGGGGGGGGGGGACATCGCGACCTCAGGGCTTTCTTGTCCTATCTACATTTATTTGAACAGAGAAAATGTGACTTCTTCTGAAGCTCACTCTGCTATGAACTGCTTTCACTGTTATTAAAAATGGAGATAGGACAAGAAAGCACTGAGGTCATGACATGGTCCCAGGGTATGAGAACCCTGAGGGTATTCGGTCGCTTTTAAGGACAAGCGGGCTAACCCAGATTTTGGGGGTTTCCAGAAATCTTGACCTACACCAAAAACGGGCATTGCCCTACCCATAGGAGAAGTTTGGTTTCACTGGCGTGTATATTTGTTTAGTTATAGAGAAAACTCTCCTTGTCTTTTAAAGAAACTGAACGAGGGGCAAAAACTTTTACCTTCGATTTTCTCAAAACAGCATTTTTCGGGATAGCCCCCTTGTGTTTAAAAGCGACTAATTGTGGGTCCAAGTGGACTACTCACTGCTGGGTCTGGGTGCTGGCTTGGGCGTGGCCACCGTGAGAGCTTGCTTGGCCGGCTGAGCAGGCATGGCATGGGTCACACTGCGGTTCACAGAGTTAGCTGCACACCAGAAAAAACACAAGTCATCCACAACGTTTAGTTTTTTTAAGTTTTAGTACGAGTTTTACGGCACTTGAAACACAATAAGGTGATACAAGTGCCGAAGATTAGAGGTGTTACAAGAGAGTAAAACACACAAAAAAAGGAGGAGTGATTAGGACGATGGATGTTTGATGGGAAAGAAGGAACAAACCCCACCAGAGCACCTGCCAACCACCGACCCACAACGTTTAAGAGCGTATTGTGGCAGACTCCATTACAAAAACACTGACAAAGATGAAAACAAAAAAACACCAATAATGAAAATAATAGAGGGGCCAAGTGGCTAAGAGACAAAATCTTTGAACTACCCAGACCTCACCCGCGCACAGAACAATATTTACGGATCATATCATGTAATACATCTTGTATCAACAAGTCTGTCAAAATCTGGAAACAGAAATCCGAATTTCCAGATCTATCCAGAAAATCGGGCACTTGTGAAATAACATTACTAATGTAAAAGATAATAGTGCACACCAGTCAAGGTACAAAGTAGACAAAGCTCATCTGAACTGAGCACTCATACAGTCACACAGTCACACAGTTTTGTTCACCACATATGTGACATGGGGCAGCCTGGTGAGATGAGGCGCTTGTCAAAATATTGAAAGTTAAGAAATTGGCATTCTCCCGCAGGTTAGGGAATTTTTATTGAATTTTTGTTTTTTTGGTTCAACACCTTTCATGCCCAATACAGAACACATTTCTGTGCTGAGTTTACAGAAAAACGTTGATTAAGGGCAGAAAAAATGTAAATTTTCAGTTTTCAGGACTCCCAAGCTAAAGAAATAACTCAACTTTGGCGGCCATTTTCTCCCTAATTTTACCTCTGAAACCAGATGACCCTCACCTCCTTCAATCACACATATCTCAACTTCTATTCAACAAAGATGGATATTATTTTCACCCAAAACAAGGAAAACGGACAGGCCTTAAGGTGATACCATCAAATCCACAAGCCCAAGACGAGAGTCTGATTCCACCCATATGGTGGCAGCATCTCACTGGATCCTATGGTCCACCCATATGGTGGCAGCATCTCACTGGATCATACGGTCCACCCATATGGAGACAGCATCTAACTGGATCATATGGTCCACCCATATGGTGACAGCATCTAACTGGATCATATGGTCCACCCATATGGTGACAGCATCTAACTGGATCATACGGTCCACCCATATGGTGACAGCATCTAACTGGATCATATGGTCCACCCATATGGTGACAGCATCTAACTGGATCATATGGTCCACCCATATGGTGACAGCATCTAACTGGATCATACGGTCCACCCATATGGTGACAGCGTCTAACTGGATCATACGGTCCACACATATGGTGACAGCGTCTAACTGGATCCTATGGTCCAGACAGCGTCTAACTGGATCATACGGTCCACCGATATGGTGACAGCCTCTAACTGGATCATACGGTCCACCCATATGGTGACAGCCTCTAACTGGATCATATGGTCCACCCATATGGTCCACCCATATGGTGGCAGCGTCTCACTGGATCATATGGTCAGTTACGCAGAAATCAACATGTTTATTCACCTACCTACCTGCCTCCCCAGACATCGGAAATACTCTATACAGCGACAAAGCACAGCTGATTAAAACCTGCAAATTCTTTGCCATATCGACAAACCGAAGGACTAGAAGCCAAATGGCCGCTGGATCGGAAAAGTAAAGGTAAATTAAGTATGCACAATGAGAGGTTTGAGGGGTGGAAGAGGGGGGGGGGGGACCCGAAAGATGAAGACCTACCAATGGCACCCTCACTCCAAACACCAGGACAAAAGCACAAAAGAAGGAACATCTTTCTTTCTTTTTCTCCCTCCCTCTCTCTCTCTTTTCTAAAAAATCTTTTGGGTTGAGTTTGCGAGAAGGTGAGAGGAGCAGTGAGAGAGGTATCAAAGGAGACCCAGTAGCACTACAACTCACCACCAGAAGTGAGAGGGGAGGAGTTGGAAGTGGTGGACAGGTTGAGGCTGGGGGAGCTGGAGGTATCTGTGGCCCCGACTGTGGCATTCAGCTCCGCCAGGCTGCTGCTCTCTTTCTTCATGGCTGGCAACGTCCCCGGATTGGCAGGCTGGACTTTCGGGAATGCATTGGAAATCACAGGAGACGTGACGCTGATGGGAGGGGATATATCTTTGCTGTTTGTGGCTCCCACCGAGATTTTGTTAGCAGACGGAGGACTAGACTGGAAAGTACAAACAGAAACAAACATGAACATGACACAAATTCAAAGCAACTGTCAAATATGGATTATAAATTATGGATCATAAAAATATGGATACCGAATATAAAAATTTGGATTATAAAAATGTTTCAAATGAAGAGTACACATGGTCTACTCTTACTGGAAATTATTGATCCCTGCTGTATGCTAGTTTTCCTTGATACCTCGTTTTCAACACTTGTTCATTCAAAGGGAACATAATTTTCTTTTGCAAGCCACGCATTAACTCCACTTCCCTTACCCCTAGTAAGTGTGACATTTTCCTGCTCTTCAATGTTCAAGAGAGCGAGTAAAACAAGCTTTATGGTGATACCAACAAAAGCTTCATGGTGATACCAACAAAAGCTTTATGGTGATACCAACAAAAGCTTTATGGTGATACCAACAACATGAGGCCAAAAACAGACAAGAGCTGGAAAACATTGTCTCCCGCCACAAATCCCAACTCCGTGATGGCCCACTGTCAAGGTCAACTGATCAACCTGTGCCTCCTGTGTGCACTGAACCAGCTTCTGGCAAGCCTCCTCTTCTTTTTGATTTTGTTTTAAGAAGTGTTTTACGGAACTTGCAACACAATACGGTCATATAAATGTCCAAGATTAGAGGTGTTACAAGAGAGTAACATACACAAAGAAGGAGGAGAGATAAGGATAATAGATGTTTGATAGGAAAGAATGAGCAAATCACACCAGAGCACCCACCAACCACTCACAAGCCTCCTCTTCCAACAGACACACTTTCAGGATGGGACAAAAAGCAAAAGTGTTCCACTCCAGCCTTACCTTTAAAGCTGCACTGGCCTTCTTCGATGCTCCTTTTTGTTTCTTTTTGGGAGATTCTGTAAGTAAGGAAGCAACAAGTATTGAAAACAAAGGAAAAGAAGACTCTGATGACAATCCAAGCAACAATTTACTTCTGTTTAGTCCCTTTCCATCTCTACACCTTTTTTTAATGTTGGGTGTTTTCATGCCTAATTTAGATCATTTAAGTGGCGGGCTTCCGACCCTGCCTGTCAGAGCCAACCTAGGGGATACAACATCCCAGCAGAAAGACCCAAGACACCCCATAAAAATGTCTCCCTACTCTAAATCAAACTGAAGTCTCCTGTGTGCGACAACAAGACAGCGCAGTGCCTGATCACTCCACCACAGATACAGGTCTTCCACTTCAGTCACTGCCCATTGCACTCTACTCACTCACAATGAAAAGCAGGACGCTTTCTTGCACTCTACTCACTCACAATGAAAAGCAGGACGCTTTCTTGCACTTCTAACCAGATCTAAATGACCTGCCCATGTTGGGAACTATTAAGATCAATGAAAACTTCCAAGGTCGCTGTAACTTGTTCAGGTTCCAGGAACTGTGCACGTACAATTACATGCTGGTGGCCGACTCATGTCCTCATATTCTTGTTTTAAAACCACCAAAAACCTGCCAACTGCCACAACTTCCTTTTGCCAGTCCAGTTGCTGATGTAAGTGATAACGTTTCAACATGTGTCGTTTCAAAACCATTTTATCGAGAAAAGGCCATGTGTACAGGGGGGGAGGGGGGGGGCCTTACACACTGTTCTTGTTTTTCTTTTCACTTCTCGCTCCACTGGACCTGACTGTCTACTTCTTGATTTCCTTCACATTCCCCAGAGCTCACTCTCTCATTAAGGTAGCGTCTGTCATAGCCATCCTTTAACATTTTTAAAATCAAATAAAAAGTATGTCTCCATAAATGAACTGTGTTGTGTGTTTTCAAACAATTTTCAATTTTGGTACAAAACTTATGATCACTCATGTCTGGTTATCAAGGATAAACTGCAGCCGATGTTTTTGTCCAGGTGCAAAGTGTTGAACTCACTTTATCAAAAACTCAACTAATTAAACATTTCTGCCATTCTCCTTCCCCAGATTCATTCACACAGAAACAGAACCTGTTACTGATCAGTTCAACCCGAAATTTTAAAACTTTTGTGCAATGCTCTAGCAAAAAAAGAAAAAGAAATGCTTGCAACAATATTTGCCTGTGATTTGACCGATTTCATTCCTCAGTACGTACGACTTTTCCTAAGAAAAGCTCTGTTCAAACAATCTTTTATTGCTCCAATGGAATTCTTCGTTTTAGTACAATTTTACAGCACTTGGAACACAATTGAATAAGGTTATATATATAATTGCTGAAGATTAGAGGTGTTACAAGAGAGTAACAAATATAAAAAGGAAGAGATCAGGACGATAGATGTTTGATAATAAGAAAGCGCAAACCACACCCGAGCACCTGCCAACCACCCACACAATGTATGTCCCAGTACACCAATGGACCAGTATAGATAAAAGGAGAGGCGTCTCTCCACATACAGTCCAGCACATGGCCAAATCCACCGGCTTTTATGTGTGCCAATTTCCCCATGTACGAGTTGAAAATACAACGAAATACAAGTATAATGAGAAGAAAAATTTGTGACCTGAAAATCTGTTTGCTGTCTGTACGCATGTTTCACTGACTGTGAGCGTGTTAGACTGCAGTTCCACTGTTGTCGCTCCACTCAGGGTGCTCCAGAACGTTCAATTCCTGATTCTTTATCCACTGGACTCTTCGGCCATAGTCCATAGCAATAAAAACATTTTTCCAGAACAAGCCAAGAAGTAATACGGAGCCAAGAAGTAATGCGGTCTTGTTTGACTTGGACACTTTTCAGCTTGCACTTTCTAAATGGTACT